AGTCGTAAGACGTGGGTCCCGACATCAATTACTTAATTTAGCTTCTGCCAGTCCCTTAACCTCTTGCCACTGGGGTTGCTTTATCTGGGAAAAGGAGGAGGTAGACCAGATGGCTGCAGCGATTCTGTATAATGGCCCCTCTGGAAGAAGCAGGAAGTTACTCATAGGGAGGTCATTAAGAGGCTGGGTGACTCAGCCTCGGGGACAGGAGGAAGACAAGGCTCCCTAAAGTCCTAGTCAAGAATCAGAGCCACAGGATGGAACCTCCTCCCAGGCCTTTATTTCTGCATCATCCCGAGAGCTTGCCCACCGCGCCACATGCTAGCCGAGCACGCAATAAATGCTGACGGGGGAGGAAGTCCAGTGGAGCCAAGGACCCTTCCCCTGGCCCTGCCTGCAGCCCTACACAGGATGTGGGAATGCAGCACACCCACTAATAGGAACCAGTCTGACGGAGGCCCCTGCTCATTAAGGATTTATAGTGTACCCTGTCGCACTCAGGGCATGGAGGCGGTGTTTATTAGCCGCCCGGTTTGCTCTCCTTGGGTAAACGATTCCCATCTCTTGTTTTGTACATGAAGTCTCAGAGGCCCAGGATGGGGAAGGGAAGGACCTGTGATTGCCTTGGCTGTAGCACCCAGTCAAGGTCAAGAAACCAAGAAGCCGCATCTGGGACCAGAGAGGGTTCCAGTGATGGCGACAGACACCGGCTCCATGAAACCACTTCCTGGTGGCGTCTCTGAGCTTCTCTTTTCTGCGCATGCCCCGATCATTCAGGCTGTTCTCTATCATGATCATTGTTTTTTTAGTGCTTGGTCGAAAGCTCCTGAAGACGGAGGCATTGCTGTGTGCAAAAAAACGGAGGAAGCCAGGCAGAATAAAAGACAGTAATCGTTATTGTTGACAGGAGAAGAGGCAAGCAGAGACATCTTGGAAGATGAAAATTACTTGGTTTTATACTGCCTACTTACAGTTACGTTGTTGCCCATTTGCAAGAAACCATTCCACTTGTAAAGTTAACCACCCATTAGTGAGTAAGAGCTGTTCCCATTAATTGGTGGACTCAAGGGGAAAGCAGCATAGTTAGAGGTTGGAGTAATGGCCCAGGTGTCCTTGACTTCTATTTCTGGTTTCTTCACTAAGTGGCTGGGTGGCCTTAGGCAGTTTTCCCTCATTTCCCTCGGCTTCCTTTTCCCCTAGAAAAAAAATGTCCCGCTCACCCTTCTTGGAGTATGCTGAAAGATCATAGACAATATTTGCAGATATTTGCAGAACTTTTGAAAGATGCCTGCAAGAAGTGCGTCTGAGGGGCCTTTATTTCACAGGCATTAATTAATGAACCTTTGATTATTGATAGAATACATATTCCAGCTTTTAATTAGCTCCTTGGGTGGAGCTGGCCATGGAGTCATGTAATAGCCTATGGGAACCAGCCCAGTGCTAGCGATGAACATGAGTGACTGCTGTGTCTTTCTGTGGTGGCAGGGTTGCACTGGCCACCACCAGCCACCACCGCAGCCAGCGAGGCTCCCTGGAATTGGCACAGAGGCTGCCCCAAAACCTGCACAGTCAGAGCCCCGCCCCAGACCCTGTCTACCAAGCTCAAGTGTCTCTCATTCGCTTGCTTGCTTGTTGCTTTTGCCCTGCCAGCCCTGTGACGAGCAGGCAGAGTCCCCTAAGCTATGGGGCACAGGGCCATTTGGGCAGGAACGCCCCCAGGCCCCCTGTGAAGAACACAACACCTTTAGGACAAGTGGCTACTGGCCGTGGTGGCCCGCAGCACTGCTGCCGTCTCTGTCCAGGCTGCCTTATGACTCCTGCTCCCCAGGGTGTCCAGCTCTGCAGCTCCTCTTCTCTGCGAGCCTGAGAAGGAAGGGACCAGGCCGGTGCTTCACATGTGCACCTCCTCTTGGGTTCCTGGGACCCTTCTTACATCTCAGTAAAACAGTGCCATTTGCCCTGAAAAACCCTTTGCGTGCCTTCCTCTCACCCTCAGTCTCCCATCCCAGTATTTCATTTGCAAAACAACAAAAATCATGCTGCTTAACACAGACATCAAGTGGCATCCTGTATTTTGTCCCCTGGAGTCAGGAGCCCAGGTTCACTGCCACGGGCAGGCCCAGTGGCGGTGGCTGGAGCAGCTTGCAGCACACGGTTCTGTTGGGGGCCTCTGGCAGATGCCAGGTCGTGCACACCAAGCAGCAATGTGAAGGCTCGGCGTGTGTTTTAAATTGCAAGGAGTGGGGGAAGGAGGAGTTGCCAGGGAACCAAGTTCTGCTCTGGGGTTCTCCATCGGGTTGGGGGGGGGCTTCAAATGCAAGGCACAGCTGGGCTTTCTTGGAGCAGGCGCACACCAGGTGTGGTTTCCTTTCCTCCTCGTGGTGGGCTGGAGAGGCCAATGCTTTGGCATTGGCCCTGGAGGTTGCATTCCTACCCCACCCCCCACCCCCGCACCCCCCGCAGCGTATCGCGGAGCCCAGGCCACAGCCCACCAGAACCCAAGGCCACAACCAGTACCATGATTTTCCAGGCCCCCTAATCAAAACATAGCCAAAATTTTCAGTGTTTAATCAAGACCGGGCCCTTTTGAGCAAAGGGCTCTCAGATCATACGCTCAGAAAACCAGGGCTCTCTAAGCGGCCACTGTGCCTGGATGCAGAGTTAAGACCCAGGCCCCTTCAGGGTCCAGCCACCTAACCATGCATATCCCATTCCTCCAGGGGTTAGGAGGATAAATTCATCTACATGAAGAGAATACAGTGCAGCTGAACATTAGCAGCTGGACAACCTGGAGGAAAGTGTCGGGGGAGGGGGCAGAGAGAGACGGACAAAGACAGACAGAGAGAGAGAGAGAGAGGGTTGGGAGAGTCATTCTTTATCCTTAAAGATTTCCAGCACACAAATAATCTAATTTAATTTTTTTAAAAGCCCCAAAGACAGGGCTTGATTTAGGAAATTTAATAAAAGAAATATTCCAGTTGCTCTGAAGCTTATTCTCTTACTAGCCAGGATTTGGGAGAAGTAAGAACACTTGGGGATCATGGTGAGATCCAAGTCTGGTGGGGGCTTGGTTTGTGCCAGCCCTGTGCTAACGATCTGCTGCTGCAATCATGGAGCCATGGAGCCATGATGGCCATTCTACGGGTGGGAAAACTGAGGCGAAAGGAAATGCTGTCCCTTTTGCCTGAAGTCCAGCAGCTTGGAAGCAGTGAAGCCTGGGGTGAGACAGATGCAGGCAGACCCCAGAGCCTTCATGCCTGGCCACATCACTGTGTGTACTGCTTCCGGGTTTTAAGGGCAGTGTCACTGCACCTGTTAGTCAGGGTGTTTGTGTGCCCGTGACAGAATTCAAGTGAGAAATCTATAACTGTGTAACAGCTGGGGGTGGGGGGTGCAGAGAGGACCTTGGGGATGATATGATGGAGAGGCTGATGGGAGCGTGAAACTCACAGGCAGCACGCAGTCAGTGATAGGAGGTAGAGCTGTCCGAACCAGCCCAAAGCTTTGGGCCCATTGCTTTTCTTGAACTGCCCTCCACCCATCTAGATTTGACCCTTAAATAAAAATAAAAATACAGTTCCCTTGCATTTTAAGCTGCAGACAAAAGAGGTGGTGCTGCAACAAGAGATACTAGGTATCCTTTCCCTGTAACTCACACAAGCAAAGTCGTTGAAAAGTTCCAGAGAAGAGATTGCGAGGATAACAGCATGCAGCCGCTCTGGAATCTGTTTTTTATTCCTGCCTCATGTGATGGCTGGGGTGGCGAGGCCGGTGGGCAAGCAGTCCCCTCAGCAGCGTCCTGGGCTTGGGAAAATGAGGTTGGTCGGATGCAAGGAAATGGCCCTTGTGCCTTTAAGGTGGGGGAAGGAACAGGAGCACTTGGGATCAGAATGAGACCCTCAAAAGCAGATGCCTTGACTCAGGGGTTCCCACCGGGAGGAACTCAGCCGGGGTTCCCAGGAGGAGAGACAAGAGCAAGGAGTCTGCTCTGCCGTCTTCAGCATTACGTAAACTCACATTCTCCGTATATACGGAGGGGGCGTGATGGCTGCAACACCAAGACAGATGTGTGGGCTCGTGATGGGGACCTCCTGCGTCCTGTTCCAGAGAGTTAAGCAACTGGCGTTTTCCTGCCGTGAAAGACCCCTGCTCCTAGAGGGATTACAACACGAAGCCCTACTCACTTCCCGGCACCATGCTCAGCTTCTTAGTTAACTGGGGCTCGCGCTCCCGGAGAGCTCTCGCCTTTGTGTGTGTGCTGCAGAAGGAAGAATGGGCTTGCCAGGCTCACACTGTGATCCCGAGCTGCCTAACCCCGTCTCTGACTCTCCCTCTCCCATCCCAGCAGCCTCCGCCCTTGGCGCTTACATGAGTGGGCAGGAAGTGGAGTCCCGATGGGAGGCTGGGATTTGAACGCCTTCCCGTTTCAGCACTAGAAGGGAGGAAGCTCCGTTCAGCACTCCAGGCAGATGGCTACTGCTTCCTTCTGAGAGTGCTTTCCTCTGGGCTCCTGCCCCTCCCTCCTTCCCTCCCTCCCTTTCCCCTCGGCTCCCTTCCCCCCTCCCCGCCCCCCTCTCCTGGGAGGGAGAAGTCTGCAGAACCGGGCAACTGTCTTGGAGCATTCAACAAAGGCAAAGCAAAAGGGGGACAACTTGAAAAGAACTTGTTTTGTTCTCCGTTAAAGAGACCTGCAGGAAAACCCACACCCACATTGCTGGCTGTGGACTGGAGAGCCGCTGTTGCTGCTGGGGTGTGTGTGTGTGTGTGCGTGTGTGTGTGTGTGTGTGTGTCCACCGCCGCCTGGGCTGCTGTGTATCTCAAGCAAGAGGCGGAGGCGGAGGCGGAGGAGGAGGAGGAGGAGGAGGAGGAGGCGCCAACAACTGGACTGTCTGCCTTGATAAGGAAACTGCCAGCTGTCGAAAGTTAACCAGCCAAGCAGGGACCGCGGCAGCCCGTGAACCAGCCGCTCCCGCCCTTAAACCACGCTGTTTTCTGTCCAGATCTTCCAATGGAGGCAGTTGGAAAACCTGTATTTCCGAGAGAAGAAGTTTTCTGTGGAAGTTCATGACCCACGCAGGTAAGCTTTCGATGTGCTTTGCCCGTGGGGAGCGCTGGCCGGAGGAGAACTGGGGCTTATTTGTAGCTGTCATAGTTTGTGTTCCATTCGGGGCAAGGGGGAGAGAGAGGACAGTGAATCGGGGAGGACGGAGCCCAGATCCGACAGGAAGGCTCCACTTTGTGCTGCTTCTGCCGATAAACGCAGTGGGTCCCCATGCGTGCGTGTGTGTGAGCGTGTGTGTGTGTGTGTGTGTGCGTGTTCAGGAAGGCTGAGTGGCACGTCTGAGCCAACACTAGACTGAACGGGAAGTGGCCTGCACACCTGTGGGAAAAGTTGGAAGGATTCCTTGTCCGAACTCCTAAGAGTGCTTCGGGCAGGACAGCGAGCCCCAAGAGGAATCTGTCACCGAAGCAGTTGTGCCCAGGTGTTGCATTCCCGGAGCTGTGATTTGAGGATGTGAGTGTTGTGGGTGGATGAGAAAGCAGCACAGTCCTTCTCCCCACCACCCAGCATGGAAGCCCGAGAGTCCAAAGTCAGATGCCAGACAATAGGGCCCCAGACTGGAATGAGGTCTGGGCAGCTCCTGCCCTCCACTCTCCCTCTCTTTGTCTGCCGGCCCACGACTGGTGGAAGAACTCCCCTAAAACCAGCCCTGACACCTAACAATCAGTCACTTTCTGATGCTCCAAAGACAGACTGACAAAAGACAGCCCTGAAAAGCTAGCAAAAGGATCCTGACTCCGTGTGGGGAAGCAAAGTGCGTTTGGGTGGTGTTGACACCTGGCCCTGGGCTTAGAGGGAGGAGCTGGCACCGAGTGCCCCTCACACATGGCCCCTGAGCAGACAGAGCCAGCCGCCTGGCCTGCCCGGGAGCTCTGGATGTCCCCTGGTGCCCTGCAGCCCGTGATATACCCAGTGGGACTCCAGGCTGCTGCCATGCCGCGTAATCTGCAGGGGCAGCCTCTGTGGGGCGGCTTATCCCAGCCACACAGCTACGCCGGCACTTGCAAGCAGAGGACCTGTCAGAGCCCTGTGGCCCTGCCGCTGCTGGGTGACGCTGATTGCGTGAAGCAAGACAGCTCGTCCCGTGCTTCCTGGGGCCCTCAGATCCATCTGCATGGGCCAGGAGGGGAAAGACAGACTGAGGGGAAGACTCCAGCCAAGCGGGAACTCACTCTGTTTTTTCCCGGCCAGCTGGGTCACACCAGACTCTTAGGCACGGGAGAGGAGGGGGGAGACTTCAGAGTGGAGAGGCTGAAATGCATTTTGTCACGGTGGGTCGGGTGGAAGAAAAGGAAGAATGGGCCAGGGGTTTGAGCCCCAGGGATGGACAGGCTCACCATGCTCATGCTGGCCTGGGAATTCTGCTAACTCAGCTGCATCTTGGACAAATCCTTTCACTGTATGTGTGTGTGTGTGCATGCACACGCATGTGTCTGTATGTGTCATCCATCCAGTGGTGTGATACTAAGTCCCCTTTCCTTTTCCGAAGCCCAGAGGGTAGGAAAGGGTGCAAACTTTACGGACTGCTATTAAGAGTCATCTGCAGCCTAGTAAAGAACAGTGCTCAACTTCACATTTGGGGAGGAGCCACCGTGTGCCAGGCCCCGTGGGGAACAGGAGGCTGGCAGAGGCAGAGGCCTGGGCAGCGAGAGAAGGAACTGCTTGCTGCACGTGGCATCTCCTACACACTGGCGCACGTGTTCTCTCTAGTGCTCACTGCGACTCCAAGACACCAGTGGAGATTTATTCTTGAGAAGCCAAGGCACGAAGGATGAATCTGCCACAGGCTATAGATTGCTAGGGCCTGGTAGAGGCAGGATTTGAACTCACAAAGTCTGGCTCCAAAGCCCCCGTGCTTGACCACTGCACTCTCCCCAATGGGTACCGGGTGTCAAATGGGCCCAGGCATGGACGGTGAATGCACTTGCTATTAGCCGAAAGGCCAAGAAGCGATGGACGGTGAATGAGGCAGTGGCCAGGGGTCAGTGTGGGTGAGGAGCCGCTGCTTGGGAAGGAGACGTCTGAGCTGAACCCCACAGGGGATGAGAACGGGAGCCCTGAGAGGGGCTGTAGTGTCAGGTGGGTGTTTCCTTGGCCCTGAGGCACAGGTGGGTGGGAGAGTGTCTGGTGTGCAGAGAAGAGGGAAATGGGGGAGCAACCCCCCCAGAGCCCCGTGCCATCCCAGGGTGAGGGGAGAGGCCCAGGGAGGAACCCAGGTGGACCTCAGCTTGCAAGACACTTCTTCCCCACACCCAAGGAAGGGAGCATTGTCTTGGGTGACACCGTGGCGGAGCCAAGGCTGCAGTGACTCAGTGAGCTCTCTTTCCACAGTCCCATGGTGCTTTGCACGTTGAGTCTGTCATCCTCTTGCCTGTGGCTTTGCTTCCTTGGAGCAGGGAAGCCTTTATCTGATTGACCTCACAATGGGATGGTGTTCGGAGCCCAGGCCCTTCCCCAGGCCGGGAATGGCGTCAGCCATGGTGGCCAAGTGACTCAGGTGTCATGGGTAGCAGCCATCCAAGGGGAGAGGGTGCTTCCTGGGCTGGTCAGCACATGCGCGGTCCGCAACGTGCAGTGGGATTTGTCCTGCACAGCCTCCCTGCACATCTGCCTTTGCCTCTGCAGTTCCTAGGCTTGGCAAATGGTGCACGTCTAAAGTTTGGGCAGCAGAGAGGGGTCCGTGGGGTGGGCTGGGGTGGGCCTGGGTGGGGGACAAGCTGCGAGGGAGCCCAGAACACCTCTGAGGGTGTGTGGTGTGGGTGCTCGTCTGGAGCTCCCCAGCCCTCCCGCACACAGCTCACCTTGGCAGCAGCAGCCCTGGCCCTGCCCGGCTTGAACTGCCTTGACTGAAAGCCACTCCATGTCCCTTGTCCTCTCTGCTTCAGCTTTCCTGGGGGAAGAAAGGAGTTTTGTTCCCTCCCAGCCCGGCAATTGCTTTGGAAACCAAACCGGAGCTCAGAGCGAGGCTTCTTTGTGCAGCGACCCAGGCCCCCGGGGCCCCTCCTCCATCCCTGCCGCCTCCTTGGCAGTGATCTCATGCCCTGCTCGCAGCTTCCCCTGAACTGCTGTTTACTCCGGGGGGAGGGGAGACCCGCCAGCGGTCAGCATCCTGAGCCGACCTCTGGGCTGGAATTTCTCCTGCAGAGTGGAGAAGACCTGTTCAGTCTTTAACCCCCCAAAATAAGATGACAGGAGCAGCTTTCAATGTCCTGTGAGAGAGATTTGCCATGAAAAAGAAAATGCTACTTTTCAGGAGTCCTGGTTTTCCAAGATTTCTTCCAAATTAGATTTCTTGATCTTAGAAACACACGTTTCTTCTGATCTATGAATCAAGCACCCTAAACCCCGCCCAACTTCCCATCACCTCCTCTCTCTTTCTCTCTCTTTCTCTCTCTCTCTCTCTCTCACACACACACACACACACACACACACACACACGGACAGATGGATGCCCAAGGGTGTACAAGCCAACACACGTTCTCAGATTCATTTACTCTCAGATTTAATCTGCCCGTTCCACAAAATATACTCCAGTGGGAAAGTGAGTATATAACCCTTCCCCCAACCAGACTCCACTAATGAGATGAATTACCCTGAGACTGGTGTGCCCCATGTTCATGTGCCTCATGTAGCTTTATAAAGGTGTGGCCCAGGCCTGGGATCTGCAGGTGCCCCTGCCTCTGTGTGTGCTGAAATTGATGACCAGATCTGCCCCGGCACCTGCAGTGCGAGTGCTGTGGGAAGTCCTGTGGTACAGAGAAAAGAACTCACCTGCCCTGAGTGTGTGAGCGTGTGACTGCTTGTATCAGTGTGGCAGCTCAGCTGTCACCTTCGTGGGCCCGTGGGACGCAGGGGGTCCTCGGTGAAAGCTGTGTGTTAGCACCAGCGTGGTGGAACCTCACGATTCTCGCTTTCCCAGGGCCTCGGTGACCAGGAGGACGTTCGGGCACAGTGGCATTGCAGTGCACACATGGTATGCGTGTCCAGCATTGATCAAGTCCATCTGGGCTATGGCCATTAGCCAGCACCAGTTCTACCTGGACAGAAAGCAGAGTAAGGTGAGTGACCAGACCTTCCTCTGAGCCTTGGGCTGACTCTCGGGGCGCTCACTGGAGGATCAGAATTGGATGGAGGAGGGAGGCACCCCGTGTTCAGGCCGCCTGAGACATGCATGGGTCCAGGCTTGCCTTTTAGTGCTCCGAGGAGGAGAGGTGAAGGCAGGTTTTCTAAGAGGGTGCATTCTTCAAGAGAGTGCGTGCCATGCAGCCCGGTCCCAGAGCTCCGGCCGAGCCACGGTTAGCGCCACACAACCCACTTCCCACAACCAGGTGTGGCCTTTTGTCAGAATTCCGAACGTGCTTTGGAATCTCCGGAGACCCTCCTGGGAGCAAGCTGCCAAGCCCTTTTTGGTGTTTAAACAGTGGCATATTGTTTTCTTTTTGAAAGAAGAAGAAGGAGGGGAAAAAAAAAGCAACCACCCTCAAGGAACAGACACCATCTAACTGTTGAGAGTAATTGCTGTGAAAACCCTCCAGGCTTTTCCAACTGCCAACTCCGTTTTTAAATATGCAAAACTGGAAAAGTGAAAGAAAAAAAAAAACACACAGCAACCCTGCCTCCCTAAGGGAGACCTGGAGCCTGGGGCCTGGGTAAACAGTCATCCTCCTGCGTGTTCAGGTGGGTGGGAGGATGACGTGTGTGCCGTTCACACGGGGCTTCTGTCAACACTCTGCCCCCTCTTCCTCCAGCTTCCGCCCCTGCCACCCGCAACCCCCCCAAGCCACTCCCCTTCATTGCCCCACAGGAGAAAGTGCTGTCAAGATGGGCCCTGCACTTCTCTCGGGATCCCTCTGGCTTGCGGTGGTGGAATCCAGAGCCAGACAGGCCCCCTAGCCCTGAGCAGGTGTGCCCCCCCAACCCATGGGAGGCTTCTCTGGAGGCGGCAGCCGGCTGGGCCCTGCACCCATGGGGCCTGCGGTTTCCTGGATTGGTGCCCTCCTGAGATTCTTTTGCCTTTCTTTTCCTGTTCTGTGAGTCACTCATTCTCCACAGGAGAGAAGTTGGGAGGTAGAGAGGGGGAAAGAAGAGAGAGGTAGTAAGAAAAGAGGACAGGAAGAAGGGCCACCATCCCCCCACTTGTATATCGGTCTTAAGTCAGGGCCTGTCTCTCTGTGGCAGGCTCTTTCCCCTTTGTAACACGTCTGCTTCTCGACCCAGTCCTCCTGACCCACTAGATGGTCATTTTCTGGGGGGTGAATGAGTGCAGGGCGGGCGTCATGTGAGTCGTCCACTGCTCTCCTCTGATGATGGCCCAGGAAACCTAAAGGCCGCTGAGCTCCAAAGGAAGAGGGCCAAAGCTGTTTTGACTTGTGCTGTCTGTTGAGACGGGGAGTGGGGGGTGGGGGTGGGGGTCAGCATTTCGCTGTCCAGTGGCAAGAGTTGTGTTTCAGCGCCTCTGAATGTAGATTTCGTCCTCTGTGTCGGCCCGGGGTGGGTAGTGAGGGGTAGAGTCTCCTGAGCCCACTGCCACTTCTTCTGGAGAGCAGACCCACACGCACCCTGGTGCTGCAACGTGGAGAGGGAAAACCAAAGTGTGTCAGCCAGAGGATGATCAATGTGAGCTGTCAGCCCCTCCCCCCACCCCGTGCTGCAGGTTTGCACGGAGGGTCTCTCTCTCTTTTTTTGTTTTTTAAAGATTTATTTGAAATACAGAGTTACAGAGAGGTAGAGACCAAGAGAGAGACAGAGACATCTTTTATCCTCTGGTTCACCCCCCCACATGGCCACCAACTGCTGGAGACGAGCCGATCCAAAGCCAGGAGTGTCTCCCATATGGGTGCAGGCCATTCTCCAGATGCATTAGTAGGAAGCTGGGTCATAAGTAGAGCAGCCGGGACTTGAACCGGTGCCCACATGGGACGCTGGCGCTACAGGTAGGGCTTTAACCCACTGGCCACAGCACCAGCCCCATGGAGGGTCTCTTAAGTGTCTGGGGATGCCTGTCCTCAGGGCTCTGCAGCCCCACTCCCCGAGAAGCCTGATTGAACAGGTTCACAGGTGGGCCCCTCGAAGCCAAGAGCAAATCACACAAGAAGTAGTCGGAGGTTAATGAGCATTAACAAGAAGCATTGTCTCGGGGCAAACCCAAAGGCCCCACCAGATTAGCACAGTCAGCTGTCACTCACAGTTACCCTGGGAGATGGATGAACATGTCCACACTCTAAGCAGGGAGAGAACTTCACCCAGTAAGTCTTGCATGCCCACAGGTGTGCTAGGTCCCTTGTGCTTCCAAGAGGAACCTACTCCTAACCTCCAGAGACAGATGAAGAATGAGTTTCCCCGATTGGAAGTTGGGGTGCTCTGCTTTCTAGCTCAGTGCCCCCAGACGAGCCTTTTTATCACTCATGCTTTGCTTTCCCCACTTGGCCTACCTGGTTCCTTGGCCAAATGACTGGTGGATGTATTTGTGCTTTTTTTTTTTTTTTTTTTGACAGGCAGAGTGGACAGTGAGAGAGAGAGACAGAGAGAAAGGTCTTCCTTTTTGCCGTTGGTTCACCCTCCAATGGCCGCTGCGGCCAGCGCACTGCCGCCAGCGCACCGCGCTGATCCGAAGCCAGGAGCCAGGTGCTTCTCCTGGTCTCCCATGCGGGTACAGGGCCCAAGGACCTGGGCCATCCTCCACTGCACTCCCTGGCCACAGCAGAGAGCTGGCCTGGAAGAAGGGCAACCGGGACAGAATCCGGCGCCCCAACCGGGACTAGAACCCGGTGTGCCGGCGCCGCAAGGCAGAGGATTAGCCTAGTGAGCCGCGGCGCTGGCCTATTTGTGCTTTTATCAACATCATTATTGATCTGACATGCTGTCCCCTGCCCAAGACTTGCGTGAAGCTTGAGTTCTCTAAGAGGCCCTCGAATCAAGGTGGAGATGATGAGGTTCCCGGGGAGGACTTACATCACAACACCTGCTGAAGGCTGGTCTTCACAGAGTGGTGATGAGGATCCTCCCCTCCGGGCAGCTGAGTGAGTGACGGCCGACAGGCCTGGGGCAAGAACCTCAGAATATTTCTGGACAATTGGTGTAGGCTGGCGTCCTGGCCTGGTTTCACACTCTGCAGAAACAGGCCGTGCCAACCATTCCTTTCTCCGGAGTGCGTCGGCAAAGTCCAGGCCTCCCAAACGATGTTTATCAACCCCGGAGAGACAAGTGCGGTCTAGTGGTTTGAGTCAGCAAGGGGAGCAGCCAAGAGGTCTCATGTTCGTCTCTGACACTCGGCGATTTTCTTCTTGCAGAGGCATTGTGTAAATCATTTAAGAAAATGCCTCTGTCACATGCATACTACACACACACACACACACACACACACACTTTCTCTCTCGCCTGCTCTCCCCCTCCCACCATCAGCTCCCCACCATGTACACCTCAGCACCACTCTCCAGCCACAGGTGGAGTAGAGGAAGCTGTGCAGGTTGGCGTCTTGAGGCTCGGTGCAGAACGAGAAGCTGCACCAGCCCTAATTCCCATCAGCCGAAAGATCACAATTGCTGTCAGCTGGGTCCCAGCTTCCTGCGTCGCCTGGAGCCAGGGGATGCCGTGGCCTTCCAGGGAAAACATTTGAAAGCGCACATTATTTAGAGTACACATTGACACTTTCCCTCTGAACTCACGGTGGGGACTTCTGGAGTTGGCCCCGATCCAAACAGTGTTCCTTCTTCTGAATCTGTTTGTTTGTTTCCCCCAATCTGATCTGCTTGCTATTCACTCCGCCTGGACTCAGAGCAGAGAGCGCCGTAGGGACAACGCAGCCTTCCTCACAGTGTTATCAGTAATAAAGCCCGGTGGCATTTATAGGGCACACAAAGGCTGTGCACAAGTTTGGAGACTCTTTTGGGTTGGCCCCAAAGACTTAACTTTGTGAGAACAGAGCCCCTGCCCCACCCCCACTCCCCCACTCCCCTCCGCTCCCACCGCCCAAGCCTGTCAGCTCCTTGTGATGTCTCCACTGCAGAAAGAAATCTGATCGCTGCCTAAAGCTGCTAAGGACCTAGGCTCCCTAAGAAAGGATATCTGGTGTTCCCTTTCCCATGTTTTCCTTCCCGACCTTGGGCGGGGGGGCTGATGTGTGGCAGGAGCTGGGGGTGGGGCGGAGGACAGGCCTTGCGTGTGATGAATGAGGTCTCTCAAGGATCAGGTGGAGCCATCAATCTACCCCTGTTTAGTAAATTACTGCCAGGCCCAACTTCTATCCTGTTCCTGTTGCAAATATATTATCTAATTTAGACTTTATCACAGCGGTGCGGCGCGGGCGTGCTGCTCCTCATCCTGCAGACAGGAATCTGAGGGTGAGGGAGGTCGAGCAGGGAGGTGCAGCCGTGGTTCATCAGGAAGAGCCAGGTTGCCCTCTGCCTTCAGAGCCGGGTAGGTGTCCGCGGGCCCGCCTGGGTTAATGCCCTGTCACTGTGGCTGTGCCGACCGCTTTGTGGGAGTGCGTGGCTCCCAGTTAAGTAGTGCAGAAAGAGCAGAATGGCTCATCTGTGTGCGCATGCTCCGAGGGTCACCGCTCAGTCGGCCGGTGCTATTGAGACCAAGGGTGGAAATGCAAGAAAAGGCCCTTCCTGTTTTCTGCCGCAAGCCAAAATCCTTCCCTGGGCCTGGCTGCTGGCATTGTGTCCCAGTCTGAAAGGTCGACCTGATTATGAGCACAAGGCAGAGAGCTGAGGTTAGAAAGGAGACGTGGGGCTGCCGCCATGGTGTAGCCAGTAAAGCTGCCGCCTGCTGTGCTGGCATCCCGTGTGGACGCCAGTTTGAGACCTGGCTACTCCACTTCAGATCCAGCTCTCTGCTATGGTCTGGGAAAGCAGCAGAAGATGGCCCAAGTCCTTGGGCCCCTGCACCCGTGTGGGAGACCTGGAAGAGGCTCCTGGCTTCTGGCTTCGGATTGGCGCAGCTCTGGCCATTGCAGCCACTTGGGGAATGAACCAGCGGATGGAAGACCCCAACCACTCTCTCCCTCTCCCTGCCTCCCTCCCTCTCTCTCTTTTCTGCTTCTCTATAGATCTGCCTTTTAAATAAGTAAATTAAATCATTAAAAAAAAAAAAAAAACGAGATCAGATTACTTTACAAAACAAAGAAGACATAAGCAGAAGACCAATGGGGGGGGGGAGGAGGAGGAGGAGGAGGGGGTAGAGGAAGACGATTCACTCCAGGTGAACAAAACAAGTCGGACGTCTCAGCGTCTCCCCCGGCCCGTGGAACTTCCATCTTGCTATAAGCGGCCGGAAGCCCTGGTCACTTGCCAGCACGGACAACGCGGAGGCCGGAGGAAGGGCTAACAAAGCCTGGGCGTTCAGACAACCACTGCTGGCAGCTCAGGGCACCTGGACTGGCACCTAGGTGTCGAAGCGACCCTGTGAGTCAGGAAGGGCAGGTCAGTGGTGTTCCCCCGACCTGAGCCCACGCTGCCCCGATGCCCGCTGTCTCTCTGGCGTGGTCTGACACAGGCCAGGCGTGAACTGCACATTGTGCACAACTGGAACTGTTGGCCTCCGCCTGCGTGTGCGCTGCGGCCAGTGGCCCCGAGGGACGGCCACACGAGCAAAGGTGTGGGGAGGGGAGGGTCCTTTGGAAAGTTCACAACTGGAAAGTGGAATTAAAATGAGCTTATTTGTGTGTGAAAACCGTTTTTAAAAAGTCCACGCGTACTTTCTTCATAATACACACTTTTCATGAACTTTGTGAAGACCAGGGGTGAAGATTTCAAAAATTTTGGCACCAAAACCAATTTGCCTTTGAATGCCATTTTCCATGAACTTTTTGAAGTCTGCTTTGTAGTAGCCTTCTGAGTTGTTTCCAGGGAGCAAGTAGCATAATAAAAAAAAATTGATTTCCTGAAGAGAGAGGAAAAAAAAAAATGCCAAACAATACATGCAGGAAACACAAACATTCTCAGTTACCAAAGGCAGTAACTAAAGCAGATGGCGTTACTAAAAACAATTACTTTCAGGCTTGTAAGACAGACTCCTTTGCTAATTAGTCTCACCTGCTATGTGACCAGTTGCCGTCTGGAGACGCCAGCGAGTGCATCTTCCAGTCAGGAGTCAGAATACAAGCAGAGCAGTGCGTGGGCCCTGTCCTGGTGGAGCCCCGGAGCAGCCACTGCACGAGCCCCTGTCCTTGCACGCCGGGGTCACCCGGGCACCATCACTTCATGCCTCCGGGCTTTCCACAGCCGCGTGGTTCAGCGTTTGAGAGGTTTTGAATCACTCCTGAATGTGTTGGGACTTTGTGAATTTGTGTCACGTATCTTCTAAGCCTGAACATTCAGGGGCTGGCATTGTGGCATAGTGGGTGAAACTGCTGCCTGTGACACAGGCGACATCCCACAGGGGTGCTGGTTTGCGTCCCAGCTGCTCCACTTCCAATCCAGCTCCCTGCTAATGTGCCTGGGAAAGCAGCGGAGGATGGCCCCAGCGCTTGGGTCCTTGCCCCCACATGGGAGAACCCGGATGAAGTTCCTGGCCTGACCCAGCCCTGGTCATTGGAGCCGTTTGGGGAGTGAACCAGTGGATGAAAGATCTCTCTGTCTCGCCCTCCCTTTCCCTCTGTGTAACTCTGCCTTTCAGCTAAATAAGTAAATCAATAAAATTGTTAAAAACCTAAGAATTGTTTCTTCTCCTTGTTTAAGCACAGATTAATTATAACCACGGCTGTTTGAGAGCTGAGTGCCAGGCAGGAAAGAAGAGAGAGGACAGAACTGAGAAGGGCGCCCTTCCCACGTCACAGTCCTCGGACCCCAACGCACCTCTGAGTGGTGGGCGGCCTCTGCCCCGCATGGGCACTGTCACTCAGTGACAGCGGGCAACTTCCCCAGCGTTACTCAGGACTCCAGGCCTGAGCTCCTCAGGGCGGCACAGCAGCGGGGACAGAGTCCCAGGTTTGGGAGGCCCTGCGTGACGTCAGCTGGGCGCCGCCTCTGCTCCGGCAGAGTTTTGGTAATAGGTAACTGGGCCAAGGGACCCAAACACAAAAACACCGCAGATCAGGGCCATCAGCCTGGTCCAGGCGCAGGGGACTGATTACCCTTCACCCCCATAACCTGCTTGTCTTCCCCTTTCAGTCCAAAATCCATGCGGCGCGAAGCCTGAGTGAAATCGCCATTGACCTGACTGAGACCGGGACACTGAAGACCTCGAAGCTGGCCAACATGGGGAGCAAAGGGAAGATCATCAGCGGGAGCAGCGGGAGCCTGCTGTCCTCAGGTAGGCGACCCCGACCGTGGGGAGGGCGTGGCATGGGGGCTGCGGGGCGGGGCCTGAGCACCAGCACCTGGCTCCAGGTTCCACTAGGAGATTGAAGAGCCCAGTGGGGGAGCTGAATAGCCTACCCCTGAGTATCAAAACGAACCTGTGGATCCAAACTCTGTGAGTCCCAGCTGAGCCTTTCGGAATGCCCAGGGCCCATTGTCAGGAGTGCTGGCTCGTGGGGTTCCCGCGTGTGTGGGGGGCGAAGGATTCGGCACTCAGGAAGGGCAGAAGTCCAGAGTCATGGTGCTGAGAGACACAGCTTCCTGTTCCTAGGTGGACTTCTTCATGTCTTCCTTTGTTAAAAATCTTAATTATTTGAAAGGCAGGATGACAGAGAGAGTGAGAGATCTTCCATGCTCTGGTTCTCTCCCCAAATGGTCACAACAGCCAGTGCTGGGCCAAGCCAAAGCCAGGAGCCAAGAACTCCATCTGGGTCTCCCAGGTGGGTGCAGGGGCCTAAGCACTTGGGCCATCCTGTGCCGCTTGCTGTTTCCCAGGTGCATTAGCAGGGAGCTGGATCAGAAGTGGAGCAGCTGGGACTTGAACCAGGGCTCTGATATGGAGCTTAACCCATTGCACCACAATGCCAGCCCCCTGGTGGACTTCTTAGATGACTGTTGCTCACATAGGAAGAGAGACTCTCGCAGTCACGGGTGGGGTGGAAGGGCTAAGCATCTTTGGCACCAAGAGTCAGAGGTCTGGTTCTGCTGACTGTTCATGTGAGCCTTGCACAGGTGGTCCTGTCCCTGGATGTTGGGAGGGACAGATGCTCTGAGACTTCAGATCCACCTGACTTCCAGCATGGGGCTGCCATTCACTGAAATCACAGGAAGAAGAGCAGGTTTGAGGAGGGCAGGGAGAGAGGAAGGAGGAAGTGTTAGAGAAATATAACCAAGGACGGCTGTTCCCCCCCACCCCCACCTCCACCCCATTGGTAAGAGCTTGATTGACATCGGGAGCTGGGTCACCTTGTATCTGTACCAGAAAAATAAAGCAGGGTGCCTTTACCCTCCCTCACCGTGCAGGGTGGTTTATGGAACTAAATACACAGTCTGCAGACAACAGCAAATCAAAAAGGAACAGCCAGGAGAGAAAGAGTTTGCTAAAAATTGTCTTGTTAATTTGTGGGCCGTCATGGCCCAGTCACAGCCAGCAAAAGGATCAAAACAAGGCCCAGGGTGAGGAAGTGCATCCTTCCTGGGCTGAGAGCAGGGCTTGTGGAGGGGAAGCGCGGACCCCCTCCGTGCTGCGGCCCTGGTGGTGTGCTCACGTGCTCAGTGTTTATGTAAAGTCCGCGGACACACTGTATCACAAATCGTTTTCCTTGTTAAACAGAACCATCAAAGTTACATAAGCTTCGGGCCCCATAAAACCCGAGTCTGCCTCTCCCTGCCAGGTCACTGCAGAGTTCTTTGTAAACTCCCTGCCTTGGGTTCTTCAGAAATGGTTCATCCAGTCAGCGGGTCCAAAGATCATTCTTTCTGGGGCTTAGAAGTTTGCAGTGAAGACGGTAGAGAATGTTGACTTCTGGGATCACAGACAATGCCATTCAGAGCCCCCAACCCCCCTGCCTGGGATTCCAGCCACACCCTGGCTCCTGCAGAATGGCCAAGGGCAGAGCCAGAGCAGACCCCTTGTCTGTCTTTTGCACAAAACAATAGTATTTTCTAACCCTGGCTAAAACCAGATAAGAGCCTGGACCTGCCCCCCGCCTTCCTCCTGTATGGAGTCGCAGGGCGTCCAGTCCGGGGCCTGACAGGCTTCAGGCCAGTGGTTCTCAGTCTTGGGCATGCTTGCTGGGCTTCCACTGCCGCCACAAGGTTCTGCAAGTGTAGGGGGAGCCTGGGAATCTGCATCTCTTCCAAGTCCCCTGGGATGCTGCTGCTGCTGCTCCAGAGACTCTGTTTTGAGAGCCATTCTTTCTTTAAAAAAAAAAAAAAAGTATTTTGAAAGGCAGAGTTACAGAGAGAGGGGTGGAGACACAAGAAAGATCTTCTATCTATTAGTCCATTCCCCAAATGGCCACAATGGCCAAGGCTGGACCAGGGTGAAGCCAAGAGCCAGGAACTCCATGAGGGTCTCCCACATGGGTGGCCAGGGCCCAAGCACTTGGGCCATCTTTTGTTGTTTTTCCAAGGTCATTAGCAGGGGGCTGGATTAGTAGCTGGAACACCCTACCTATATGGGATGCCGGTGTCACAGGTGGCGGCTTTACCCGCTATGCCAGCCCTAGGAGCTACTCTTACTAAGGAAGAGAGAGAAGCTTGAGCTGAGTGTGGCTCAGGATCACAGAGCGCGGAGCCCCTTGCTCTAAGCCTGCATCCTGGCCCACGTGCATGGGCTCCTCATCTCCGGCAGCGCCTCGGGCACAGGGCAGTGACCTCCCACACTTACAGATGGGTTGTGCACAGGAGCCCCAAACCTCCTGAGATGAGCAGGTGTCATGTGCCCACCAGAAATGGAATCCGAGCATCCTGGCGACTAGGAAGCAAGAAGTCTCTGTTACCGCTATTGGTACCCAACGTAGAGGGATGGGAGATAAATCGCAAGACGGTCTTCCCGCCGAATCCACCCCCGCGCCTTTCTTCCGGGACATTAAAGTGATTTTTGGATGCTTAATAATTCAGCGCTGGGGCCCGCGGCTCAGATGATGAGGGGTTGAGAGATGGGCTGAGGCCTCTCACAGAGTGGCTCTGGCTGTCGGCGCTGATGCCTCAGCTGCTCTGCGAGCGTGCAGCCGTGGAAGAGGAAACCGAGGGTGAGAGAGCCTGACAGGTAAACCCTGGGGCCTCTTCCCAGCCCGTCACTGCATCCTCTAATGCCAAGGTCGCCGCTCCCCAGGGATGCCCTGACCCCACACTCCATGCCTCAGGACAGTGGAGGGGCAGGCGGCAGCCTGGAAGCATGCCATCAGTGAGCCAGGGAATCCCCAGGATTGGGTGGTTGGTCTTGCCCCCATGCCCGTGGGGCTGCTGATGCTGCCTGCCCCTTCATCCCTCCTTGTACTGGGGAGGAAGCCTTTGCCTGAGGAAATCCAACAGCAGACACTTCTAGAAGGGACTGAATTCGCATCCCCTATGGTGGGAAGTGTAGCCCTTGGGCTGAGAATCGAGGTGGCTGGCTGGCTCCCCACCCCTCTCCTGTCCTGGCTGCCTGTGGCCTGTAATGTGCTCTCACGGGGGACAGGTGCACCTGCTAGCTCCTTCAGGACAGCCCGGATCTTATACACTAATTACACTCGCCAGACCTCACAAGGGTTCTTCAGAAAAACTCATGGAAAAAAACATATTGGGAAAACACTAGGCATGGGTTTCTAATTTTTTGTGCCAAAGGAAACTTATCTTTCAATCCCATGATTCCATGAGCTCTTTGAAGTACCCTCATGTAGTCTGATTTTCATCACGTTTAACCCAGTACCCAATTTGGTAAATGGTTTTCACTCCTTATTGGTTGATGTCTAATAAATGTTCCTTAAAAGCATCTGGAGACTGGTGTTGTGGGGCAGCAGGTTAAACTGTCGCCTGCTAAGCCAGCATCCCATATAGGTACCAGTTTGAGTCCTAAGTGCTCTGCTGCCAATCCAGCTGCCTACTAACGTGCCTGGGAAAGCAGCAGAGGACGGCCCAAGTGCTTGGGCCCCTGCACCCATGTCAAAGACCCAAATGGAGTTCGGGGCTCTCAGCTGTGGCCTAGCCCAGCCATGGCAGGTGTGGCCATATGAGGAATGACCCTGCTGATGGAAGATCTCAGCCTCTGTCTCCCCAACTCCTGTCACTACTCTCTGCCTTACAAATAAATAAAAAAAAAAACTTAAAAAAAATTTTTTAAGTAGGTACTATTTGAAAATCCACGTTTCTAACCCAAGCCCAGTGCCTAACACTTAGAAAGTTATTGATGTCAACCTTTTTTTTTTTAAAAAAAAGAGAAGTCTTATTGAGAGAGAAAGTGAGACAGACAGGGAGTGCTCCCATTCTCTGGTTCACTCCCCTAAATGCCCACAGAGGCTGGGGCTGGACCAGGACCCAAACCACCAACTGGGAAGTTGAGCTAGATCTCCCACCAGGGTGGCAGGAATCCAATCAGTTGGACCATTTCCGCTGCCTCCCAGGGTCTGCATTAGGAAGCTGGAGTCAGGAGTCAGAGCCAGGCACCCCAGCTGGGGACTCGGGCATGCAATCACTGGACCAAACACCCACCCCTGGAATTGTGCAGAGTACACTAAGGCTCCTGCATGTGCTGCATTGTCGGAATCCTCTGCATTCCCAGAGCGCGTTCTCTCCTGGGCCTGCCTTCCTGCTCGCGTGCGGCTGCCTCCAGCATTTGCCCCATGTTGTATCCTTTTAATGTCAGGCCTCTGACATTTCCCTTTCTTTAGTCCTTCTCCCTAGACCCAGATCATGGTGACTGAGCCATGTACCACCACCATAATATTTCTATGGCATAAACATTTTTTCCTTTTCCCAGTACATTTTTTAAAAATTTATTTATTTTTTGACAAGCAGAGTTAGACAGTGAGAGAAAGAGAAACAGAGAGAAAGGTCTTCCTTCCGTTGGTTCACCCCCCAAATGGCCGCTATGGCCAGCACGCTGCGCCGATCTGAAGCCAGGAGCCAGGTGCCAGGTGCTTCTTCCTGGTCTCCCATGCGGGTGCAGGGCCCAAGCACTTGCGTTCCTGGGCCACAGCAGAGAGCTGGACTGGAAGAGGAGCAACTGGGACAGAATCTGGTGCCCCGACCGGGACTAGAACCTGGGGTGCCGGTGCTGCAGGCGGAGGATTAGCCAAGTGAGCCACGGTGCTGGCCCCCAATGCATTTTAGAAGTTACAGTTCCCCTCCACAAAGGGTTTGCATACTGTTTGTTGTTATAAAACAGAGATATTTCCATGCTATTAGTAACTTTGAAGACGACTTTTCTATTTTTTATAAATTGTTTACAAAAGAGAGGGGGATAGATAG